TATTGATGATGATGATGGTCAAGAGGACAGTTTGATTTTTGTGTTTGGAGCTAGTTATAAAGAATCAATATTATATCAAGGGGTAACTTTCGTGATAAAGGACTTTAACCACTCCGGCTATTCATCATAAGTCTGTAGCAAGCAGATAGGTCAAAAGAAATTATATTGCACTAAAGAGTGAGTCTTCTTATCTCTCCCATACCAGGGGAATAAGGGGCCAGCCGATCGATACTGTAGCTGCCTTATACTTCTTGCAATTATCAATAGCTGATTTCGCCTTTTGAGGCCTGCATCTATTAATGCAAGCTAATAATAATCACTTGCGCCTCCCCACAGGCAGGGAAGTCAAAATTTTCAGTGATAGTATTATTTATATAATCATATATACTAAAGCAGCCCTTCCCAGCCTCATGCAGCCCAGATTCAAAGTTTGCTGGTCAGGGGAGGAGGGCTTGCAGTCCTGGGCCTGTAGATGATGGCTGTGAGCTGTGAGCGCGCTCTCTCTCTCTCTCTCTCTCTCTCTCTCTCTCTCTCTCTCGTGTGTGTGTGTGTGTGTGTGTGTGTGTGTGTGTGTGTGTACCATTAAAAGCCTATGGAATGCTCCACCATGATACCTGCAGGGAAGCTGTGTGGTGTCCTGTAGTGAATATGAAGCAAGGCTCCACAGCACAGGAAACAAAATGGATTTGTACACGAAGCACATGGTTCTCTCCTATTAAAAGTAGCTGTACAATCCCAATGACTTTGAATTGCTAAAAGTGATCCGAGCAGGGGCTGAGCTGAATCTGCTGTGGGCATGGCTAGGCACGGATTCTAGTAGCTAACTTCAAGTGGGAGAATAGAAGCTAAGATAAAACGTTTCCAAAAAATACCCCACAAGTACAATGGTTACATGTTTTCTAGTTAACACCCCCCCACACACACACACCCTGTAATAGGAAAGCAACATCTCTATAATTGGCACTTGACATGCTGTTTGCACTGGGCTGTGGTACACCCAGCACAGATTTCCTGTTGATGGAAACATTTATCATTGTGATTGCCCCAGAGTGGCAGGTGGTGTTATCAATTACCTCTTCTTACCAATAATAATATTAGTATGGTAATATCTTTGCTCAAGTGAGAACCAATTAGTGGTCACTTGTCACAGCATTAAAGACACAAAATCATGCTGAATTTAACCCAAGGACTTAAAAAAAAAAAAAAAAAGTTGGAGGTGTGAGAGGAACCAAGGGAAAGCAGGAAGGTGGCCAGGGAGTAGGAAAAACAAAACAAAAAAAATAAAATAAAATAAAAAACAAAATAAAACAGGAACTTAGTGAAGGAAAGGAATGAAAGAAGACAGAAAACTAACTGAATACCTATTTTGCGTGAAGGAGCTGGAGAAATAAACACATTGTAAACAAAATGCCAAGTACACCTATGTAAAACTGTCTTCGTGAATCCAGAGCCAGGTATCTTCAACAAACGTTACTGTGAACTCAGAACCAACTATTCAACTCCCCTTGTCAAGTCAATCTTGCAGACAGGCTTTCTGTTTTATCTGAAGAAATGATACAAATTAATCCAAATGCCTAATTATATGTTCCATTAATGTAAAATATACAGTATTAATTTGTAAATAATATCATTAAGCAGACAAAATAATAACATGTCACCTCTTAAGATGAAAACAACATTGCAAGAGGAAAGACAATTAACAAATTAGATTTAATTATAGGGAGGAAAAACAACTTTTGTTTTTGCAATAGAGCTTAGGTATTGCAATATTTTAATAGATAGTGGTCATGTGGTAAGTGTTCGTGTTAGGTATGCCTAACTACAGTGGAACATGTACCTCTTCCGCGTTAACCTGGACACAGCAAGAGAGACTGCTTCCTTTCTCATCTGTGAAAATACTCCACAACACATTGTCTCTTTGAAATATACTGTTTTGATTAAAGCTTCAGATGCAAACTCCTTCATTGAAATTTGCCACACTGGATAAGGACAATGAAAGGTTTTCCATATAAGCACTGAAAAGCAAGGTATGGAGAGAAAGAAGCATGCTTTTGTTTTCCAGTTTTACTATAAAAAAACAAACAAACAAAAGAGCCCCTCTCCTTGGTCCCACTCTTTGAAAGGTGCACTTCGGGATCCACTTGAGTGTGGCCCTTCCGCAGTGGAGGGAATCTGTATAGGTATCTGCTATATGCACTGTCTTTTTGGTCCTTTCCTCCAGGCTTTTGACATCTTCTCAACGAAATTCCAGCGAAGTCAGCCTCAGGGGAGTCAGGTAGCCTGCAAGCTCTCCCACACAGCCCAGCCAAGCTTCACCCTGCAGGCAGACCTCCCTGGGCTGATCCACTGTAGAGACCTCAGTACCCGGCATCCATGCAGCCTAGCTGGAGAGAGAGAGACCAGCAAGGTCCACTTCTGCCTGAGCCCCACCCGCTTCCCTCAACAATTAAGAATCACTCCACACCTCTGGAATCTGAAGGGCCAGGGCTGGGTTCGCCTTCATTGGAGGGACTCGGCAGATCCTTCCCAGAACTATACCTCATAGAAAATGCAAAGCAAGTCTTCTAATTAAACAGTTACACTGGGAAGAAAGACCTGGGCGAGCATTCCGGCTTACTACACACTTCAGGAGGAGTGGAGCAGCAAGGAGATGAAAGGGGACCTCAAGCAACAAGAAAAAGGTTAAGAGCGGCTTAAAGAGACCCACCGAAGGTTGATGGCGACCAGGTGGTTGTGGGGTCCAGTGGGATCCATCCTCCCTGAAAGCCTTTGGGGGAACCCGTTTCTGCTTCTCCCTCAGAGTGTTAGAAAATGGGGAGGGAGGAAGGAGGGAGGCCAAAGCAACCATAAAACACAATGCATCTTAAGCAGGGGCTGGATGGACATCGACGACCTGTGTTTTCTAATGACAACTTTGCCACCAAGTCTCTGCAACTTCTAACTCTTAATTGTCCTATAAATTCTGCAAAAATTTTCATTTCACACATCACACCTGTCCTCCAACGCAACACTTGCATTTTTTTTCTTTCTCTCTCCTCGTCCTTACTGCTCTCTGTCAAGTTTCTATAGTAAGAGTCCTGCCCCGATCGCCCCCCAAAGTCCTAGTTGCAACTTTGTGTGTGCACCAGGCACTTGTGTCCTCCTTCCCCAAACTCTGCAACAGCCGTTCAGAACTTCACCTGTGATTACAGCGAGACATTTCTCCCCCATAGCTTAACTGTACACACACATGCCATACCCGTGTGCCTGTGTGTGTGTGTGTGCGCGCGCGCGCGCCCGCACGCGCGTGAAACAGAACTCGAAATTTCGAACATCTTTTATTGCTTTTCATTTAAAAAAACATTTTTTTCTCACTTAAATGAGTACACCCTCCACCAAAAGGAAAAACAAACCAACCTTAAGGAATTTTTTTTTTTTTTCATAATGGCTCTTGGGGCTGTTTGGAGGCGACTCCAACCTGTGCGCATCGTTCTTCCGCACAGTATCACGCTTCTCTTGCGCTCTTCCCGGAGCCCAAAGCTGTTGCTTCATGGAACTTTGACTAGATGCGGGAGGAGAAATGCAGTGTGGGAACCGGAGTCTAGAACCGAAAGTCAGCTTTTTGGGGGCGCTCCGCAAGTTAGCAAGGCTGGGTCCTATGGAGGGGGCAGGGGATTCTATCAGTAAGCAGCCCGCCCATTCCCGAGCCCTGCGAAAAGCTCACGGGGCTTTGCTCTTGGGGCTGGAGGATCAATGTCTACTTTCCCACCCTCCACCCACGAAACAAGCCGGGGTAAACGCCGGGAGACCCGTCTGAGCCGAGGCTTCGCGCACTTGGCCATTTGCACAGGCAAAAATACAAAATGTAAGGAATGGGGGGAAAAGACACGCTTGGGGAGAAGGGCGTTGGAGCTGCTGCAGTGAGGCCTGGGGCACATCCTGGTGGCGGCTCCGGGATGAGGACGCACGCGGACGCGTGTGCTCGGTGTGGTGGGAGAGCGCGCGAGTGAGTGCTCGGGAGCGAGGCCGCGTTCGCGTGACCGCGGGCGGGGAGACGGGTGCGGGGAGCGCGCCGCGCCAGCTGGCCAAGGGTGCCCGGCTGGCGTAGACATCGCGACCCCCTCACCTGCCCCCCACGTCACCCCCGAAATCCCGACAACATGCGGCCCGCTCGCCGGACTTTCGTGGACTTGGAACTTTGAGTCTCACTCGTTGCCCACTCCGCAGGCCCGGACAGTGGGCACTGGGGCTCGGAGCCGGCGGGAACGGGAAAAGGGGGGCGGCGCCGGGGTCCCGCTGCCCCCTCCCTTCCCTGGACTTAAGGAGCCACCGGCGGTGGGGAGGCCCTGGCAGGCGGGCGCGGAGCCGTGGAGGCCCTGGTGGTGGCGGCGGGCGGGGCGGGCTCTCAGGAGTCGGTGGGGACCGGGGGGGGGGGCAGCAGAGGGGAGGAGAACGCAGGGAGGGGAGGAGCCGCGCGGCCCGCGCCGCTTCCGAACCGGAAAGTTGGTCTTGCCGAAGTCCCGCCACCCCAGCGTGCGCACTCCGCTCCGGCCGCGAGCCTCTGAGCCTGGCGCCCCGCCGGAGGACCCCGCGAAGTGGACAAGAGCCGGGAGAGAAAGTCCGGAGACGAGGGCACCTGAGCCGGAACGGGCTGGGCGAGCTGAGCGGCGCGGCGACCCGTTGCCTGCCGAGGACCAAAGGCAGTCGGCCGGCCGGCCCGGAGCGCAGGCAGTGCGGCGATCGAACGGCCCGGGCGAGACAAAGACGCCGGCCGGGCCGGAGCCCTGCCCGCGGCCGCTCGCTCCGGGAGGGGCCGCCCGGCGGCGGCGGCGGCGGCGGCGGGGAGGGGGGGCGACGGCGCAGACACTCTATAAAGGGGCGAGCCCGGCGCGCCGGCGGAGACGGCGCCGCGCGGACGCCACCAAAGTTTGCAGCCTGCGCGGCGCGGAGGGTCCGCTGCCACGGCCCGCGCCGCACCCCGGCCCGCCGAAGCCGCACCTGGGCAGCAGAGGAGCGCGACTCCCGAGCGCGATCGCCGGAGCCCGCGATGTGAACGGCGTGGACCAGCGCGCACCCAGGTCCGCAGGCGCCGCGGCCCCTCCTAGCCAGCGCGGCTGCTAATTGCGAGAGCGGCCTCATTTGCATAGGCCGCCGGAGTCCGCTGGAGGCCGGCCAATCGGCGCGGCCCTCCGCTAATGGACATGCATTATTCACCAGCCTAATTGCTCAGCCCCATGCGCGGCCCGCGCAGCCGCCGCCACCGCCCCGCGCCCCGCGCCCCGCGCCCGCCCGGCCACCCCGCGCCCACCCCGCGCTGTCCCCGCCGGCCACCCCGCTGATGCCGCTGCCCCGCACGGGGCCGGAGCGCCGCTAACAGCATGTCTCGGCGCAAGCAGGCCAAGCCTCAGCACCTCAAGTCGGACGAGGAGCTACCGCCGCAGGACGGGGCTTCAGAGCACGGTGAGGGCCGGGGACCTCAGGGTGGCCCGGAGTTCTAGGGCGCCCACCCAGGTTGGGAAGCGCGGGCGGTGGGAGCAACTGCGCGTCTTGGAGTGGGAGGAAGTTCCCCCGGTTCCCGCGAGCGAGTGCTCGCTATGAGTCGGTTCCCTCGGCCAGCCTGGCCAAACCCGGACCGGCACTCCATGGAAGCGCGCGGGCGCGGAAAAGAGTTGCGGGCCAAGTAAACTTGGCTCTGCTGCTCCGACTTGGGGAGCTGCGTGCGGACGCCGCTGTGGCCGGGCCCGCTCCGGGATGGACCGGGATCGGCTGGGCCAAAGGCGGAGGCCGGCTCTCCGAGAGCGGGCGGGAGGGGGGTCCGCGCCGCCGCCTCGGTGTTGCTCTGGGTCTCCGCGCCCCCACCCTGCTTCGGTGGGCCCTGAGCCTCCTGGAGCTCCGGGTCCCTGGTCTAGCTTAGTACTGTCCCCAGGGCGGGCGCAGCAGCGGGGGACGCGTCTGGGGCTCACCTACCGCTGGACGCGGGCCCTGGAAGCCGCCGCCTGGCCAGCTTTGTTCGGCGCCGCGCGTCCTGGTGCCCAGCCGGTGCTCGCCTGGAGCCTACCCGGGGCCCCAAGGCCACCTCGGTGATCCCAGTCTCTGTTGCCTGTGCCCGATACCGCCAGCAGGCCGCGTCGGGTGACCCTCAGGCCGCGAACCCCGCGGTGTCCCAGAGCGTTGACAAATCCAATCATCCCTTTCGGAAGCAAGTGGGAAGTAAATGTCTCTTGGCCTTTCCTTAATGGCCGACTAGGGAATTGTGGGGCGCGAGGACAGCTGTTTCTTTCGGGGGCTACTGCGTGCATGCGATAGGACCTCAGCACGCTTCTGGCGGATTCCAAGTTTTCCCTTCGGCCTTTTTGTACTCTTTTGGATGCACCGAAATCGGGCGATGGAGATACATTCGCAGTTACTTCGCTGGTAGCAACTTCCTCCTCGAACCATCCAAAAGTGTAGGGCAGTTGCTATGGAAGTTAGACACTGGAGAAGATGCGAATTTAGCATGGTTGAACTTTGCCACCCTAAAGTTTATGGCACCCTGAATCCGTAAGCCCTGGGTGCTAGTTTTGGCGCGCCTTAACAGGGTCTCCAGGGCGCCGGCCAGGAGACCGAGGAGGGGCGGCCGAGTATGACACGGAGCCCCCACCCCCAACTAGTTCGAGGTGGAAAAATTTATTCCTTAAAGGCCAACTTTTATGATCAACTTATTGTAAATTGTGTAGAGGCCGATGCAGATACTAAATAATCTTTTAACTGTGAAAATAATTCCATCTTCCAAAAAAAAAAAAAGAACAATAAAAATAACACCAAACTCAAAACCCTAACAAATAGGCGGAATGTAAGGGTTTCACACACGGCGTTAAAGTTTGACAAAGCGTGCGCGTCGCAGCAGAAGGTGAGAAAATGCCCACAGCAGCCCCGGAATGAATGAAATCAAATGGGACTCCTTGGGTCTTTTTGTTGATGTGAGGTGAGGGAGCTGGCATCTCTGCAGCCAAGTCAGCCAAGATTAGAACAGGCGATATGCTAAAAAGAAACGCTTGCATATGTCGGGTAGATTAGGGACAAAGACTCTTTTTTGTCATGGAAATGGATTTTTTTTTGTTTTGTTTACTTCTTCACATAGAATTTCTCACACTTGGGTTGTTTTGTATTACCCTCAATGACTACATGATCAAATGAATGGATTTATTTCTGCCGAATGAGAAAGACAGTCTTTCCCTCAAAAGAACTACACTGCATCCCAGTGAGGAATTTTAAAGCTTCATTATTGCGGCTCCTGAATAGCTCAAAATCCGCTTTCACGGCCGCCCTAAAATGCAACAGTGTAAATACTTCTACGCTTTGTAGGGTCGTTATCAAAATGTGCAATGCCTCCTTTTATTAAAGCATATTTTAATTAATAGAGCCAAACCTCTGTGTTTAACAGTTAACAAGCTGAGGCACTGTTGTTCATTTTTAATTTCACTTCAGAAATGTGAGTGTGGCAAAGTTAATCGTGTAAACACGTCGGAGGATATATAACCCGGACAGTGTTGAAAACCCCAGATAGTCAATTATTTACGAGTAAGCTTTTGAATTCTGCTCGCTGCTCTAATTTATTTCGAGAGTTTTCCGTACCCAGGTTTTCCATCCGTTCAGAAGTGGCATTTTTTTTTTAATCCGGGCTGTGTTGTCCACAGCCCCTCAGACTTCTGATCCCGAGGTTGCCACAGTTCCTCATCATATTTTGCAACAGGCCAAAAATAGTCTGTCTGAGGCTGAGCCCTAGTGGGGCAGCATTTGCTATTCAGGTTTGAAGGATAGTTCAGACAAACTATTAAAACAAGTTCTTTCTGATTTAATTGTTCTGAAGCAGATTGTTCATGGAGCATAAAAGATACTCCATTCCCTGTGAAGTCAAGGAATGCTCATGCTGTCTTAACTGAGATAACCAAGAAAAGTAGTTCTGTTTTTTTTTTTTTCCTTAAAGACAAATGGTTGTGTAAACTAAATTACTGCATTGTCATTTCAAGTCCTTAATTCCTTTTAGATGCAGAGGAGACAAATCCGTGCTGCATGAAGTTATAAGTGAGCTAAGTCTCCAGTGTTTTAGAAATGAAGTAAATGATTCCTTTGTATCACTTTGGGTGTGACATGTTAATTAAAGCACTGTGTCCATCCTGCAGTAAAATTGGAGGCTTTTGTTAATACCACAGGAACAGATACCATAAGTTAAAAAGAGAGAGACAGAGACAGAGAGGCACTGGAAGGCAAAGATGCATAGTCATGTTGATTTCCAGTAGAAACCCTACTTTTTTTTTTTTTTTATGGCTTATTTTTTCAGGGTTTGTTTTTTACACCAGCAATGAGGGAAAAGACAACAACACAGCTCTGGTTCTTTCCAGAACTTAGCACTGAATGAAGGAATGACAAATCTGAATGACAACAAGCCAGGCTGCCTTGTGGAGAGTTCTGGAGTTACCTTGTGATAAAATTTTAATTTTAAGTTACTGAGACTTAAATCCCCAGTGGAAACTGTCATTTTAAATCGCATATTCGTGATTACTTCCCGGTTTAGAAATAAATGTAATGCAGCTTTAGGATTCAGTCAGACCTGTGCCACCAGTAAGGATGTCCTCTGAGCCAGATGAACATTTTTTGCTCTAAGAAAAACTAATTAAAACTTCCAGTGGCAGTGCCACTCCTAAGCCCTACCAAGAACTCTAGAGACATTGCAACCCTGTGCCGGCAAAAGATAAAAGAAAAGCAGTCCTTAAAGATGCATTTCTCTGTCCTGGGAAAGTCTGGTGTTTAAGGCCAAACAAAAGAATGTTGTAATTTAAAACAGTTTTCCAGGGTGCATCTTTTTTGTGGGCATTAGCTACTTCGTGGTGTTTTTTTATTTTCTCTACCAATTTCCAGTGTATGGCTATCTTAAAAAATCTTTACAAATGTGGTGAGTCTGCAACCCAAGAACTAACGAGTGGAATTCATAGTTAAGTTCAGGGAGAGAGAGGCTCCAGTGCTCTGTGAAGAGATCTTTTTTCTTTTATCTGTATATGCAGGGTTTGCCTCCAGCCCCCCCCCCCCATTCGCATTTACAATTCAGCATACCAAAAGGGACAAAACAGAAGCCACTTTCTTACATCCACTGGCAGATTGTTTTCTCTGAAACATGAAAGGTAGAAAGTAAGTGAAGGGGGAGGGGGGAGAAGAATTTGCAAACATTTCTTTTTAAAATAACACTCAAAAACTTAACCTGTTTAAAAATGCGTGCTCCTAAAATGGGTGCCAATTAGGTCCACCTTAAAGAGAGCTGGTTAGGAGACGAGTTGGAGAATTTTGAGAAGGGTGTATTCTAAACTTTCCAAAGCCTCTGCGTCATCCAGGGCTTTCGGATGTGTGCAGACTGTAGGAAAGCGAAAGGTGTGGAGAAGCAGCAGCAATTACTTAGTAAACTGATGGTTTCTTTGTATCCAGAATGATGGGGGGAAACAGACAAAGTGGGTCGGGTTTCATGTTCAGCTCTACCATGGTCCTGGTCCTCCGTAGGTAGCTATAAGAACGTTTTCCTTGGGGATGGAGAGTGCAGCAAACAGAGCCAAGATTTCTGTTCTATGAACTGGACCATCAACTGGGGTTTAGCATTCTTATGTGTAAGTATTGGCACAAGGCCTTTTGTAAGTACATTAAAAACCCTTTAGGCTGCTCACGGGCTTTTCACCATCTCTTAAACATAGCAGCATATTTACCAGTGTCATTTTTAAAAAACAATACAAAGAAGAATGGGCTCCCTTCTCTCTTTTCCTTTATTGTTTTATTGGTTTTTTTTTCCCCCTCCGTGATTTCTTGACGAGTTGCCAGTGAATCTTAGACAACAATATCATGAAGATGTGAGCTAATGCCACTATGGGTGGGACACTTTTGTAATTACAGTGTATGTTTAAGTTACTGCACGTTTTATATACAATCTATGTGAAAACCGAATTTTAATAATTACTTCAAGAAAAGTGTTTTTGAAGTATTTTGGGTTTTCTCTTGTAATTTTAACAGTTATGATTTAAGATGCAATTAACTACGTGAGTGCCAAGCAAACAAGGCAAGGCGTGCTCCAGAAAGAGAAAAATACAGTTTTTAACAAAATAATGGAGTGACCTTTACACTCAAGACTAAGATTGATTTGTTTCTTAATTAAAGGAAAGGGGTTCTGGCCACCAAAGGGAGCTGATGGTGCCCAGCGGTTTCTTTTCTGAGGGTGGGTCTTTTCTCCCACCTCCAGCCTGGTTTGGTGCGCTGTGGTAGGTTCAGCCCCCTTTACACTCTCTGAAAGCAGGGTAACTTCATGGTGTGGCATGGAACCTTTTTAGCTGTGGTCCTAGGCAAGATGGGTGGCAGAATGCTGGCCAGCTTGCTCCTTTCCTCCCCAAAGGTGAGTTGTTAGGAGTGTTGTGACAAGCCTTTGCTTGCTTCGCCCTGCCAGGGGT